AAAAAAAAAAAAAAAAAGAGAGAGATTTGAGGATTAATGAAAAACTGCCTGTTACAAATTTTACCAAGTGGCTTTTTCCTGGGGTGTTCTGACAACAGTTGACTATACTAGAGATTCAGGGAGCCTGAGATCTGTTCTGAGTATGCTTTTTCTGTAGAATTGTGTGTTAATATTCCAGTTGAAGCAATTTTCACCATTTTTGTAAGATCCTGTCATCGTTTGTGACACTTGTTCTCTGTCTGTGGTCCTGAAGGTGCTGGGCTGCTGTAGTAATCTTTTACCTGTCATTTCAGCTCTCCTAATCTGTATTTCAAACCGTAACACCATTCTTTTCAACATGGTATTAGGAGAGACAGAAACCAGTCTTTGAAGGGTTCTCAGAAACTAGAAGGATGGACACAGTGTCATTATATTCTTTCTCTTGAAGGAGAAGCTGAGAGTTGGAAGTTTACTTCTATATGCACCATGCCATATTAAAGAGGGGAAAAACCCATTGTCATTAGATATAGCAAACTTTTCTTTTCATGTGGCTCTTGGCATTGTGCTCACATGCTGCAAACTCCTACCTGTTTGTTAGAATTCCCGCAGTGGCAATTTGGTTAGTATGTTTTTGTTATTTTACTTATTTAAAAGACAATTAGAGCTTTTGGCTTGGTGCCTGTAGCTCAAGGATGCCAGCCACATACACCAGAGCTGGCTGGTTCGAACCTAACCCAGGCCTGCCAAACAACGACAACTACAACCAAAAAATAATGGGGCGCTGTGGTGGGCACCTGTAGTCCCAGCTACTTGGTCTTTTCTTTTTCAGTTTTTGGCTGGGGCTGGGTTTGAACCTGCCACCTCCGATATATGGGGCTGGCGCCCTACTCACTGAGCCACAGGTACCATCCTGTCCCAGCTACTTGGGAGGCTGAGGCAAGAGAATCGCTTAAGCCCAAGAGTCTGAGGTTGCTGTGAGCTGTGATGCCACAGCACTTGGTCTCACTACCAAGGGTGACATAGTGAGACTCTGTCTCAAAAAAGACAATTAGAGCTTTAAATTGCATTATACTTGCTAATGTATTTGGTATAATTTTATGTATTAAACTCATAATGTGTATTAATCTCATTCTGAAAAAAAGAAATACATGAAATAATTTGTTATTTTTAAAATTTCTTTCAGCTGCATCTTCTCATTCCACTCAAGACTATTTGCCACAGCAGAGCTTAAATATTTCATTCCAGAAAAGGGTATTGACAACATATGGAAGCTGGGGCCTTGGGAATTTAAAGTTAATGAAATCCTGGGAACGTATGTGTGAGTATAAGGAGCATACAAGGTGTTATAATGGACTGATCCAATATTCAACAACTAATCTTAACAAAATGTTCCAGTCTAAAAAATGTTTGTTCCAAAGCTTGTCAAATGTAGATAGAGAGAAGATAAGACATACTATAGAGAGGCCTTTTAAATGTAAAGAATGTGGGGAGGCCTTTAACCAGTGCTCACACATAAATAAACATAACACAATTCATAATGGAGAGAAAACTTACAAATCTAAAGAATGTGGGAAAGTGTTTAAATCTTGCTCAAGCTTTTCTAAACTTAAGAGAATTTGTATTGGAGAGAAACCTTACAAATGTGAAGAATGTGGCAAAGCCTTTAATGAGACCTCATACCTTACTAAACATAAGAGAATTCATACTGGAGAGAAACCTTATAAATGCAAAGAATGTGGCAAAGCCTTTAGTTGGTGCTCATACCTTTCTAAACATAAGCAAATTCATACAAGAGAGAAACTCCACAAATGTGAAGAATGTGGCAAAGTCTTTAATCAGAGCTCAAACCTTACTGAACATAAGGGCATTCAGACTGGAGAAAAGTCCTACACATGTGAAGAATGTGACAAAGCCTTTAGTGGGTGCTCCACCCTTCTTAAACATAAAAGAATTCATACTGGAGAGAAAGCCTACAAATGTGAAGAATGTGGCAAAGCCTTTAAGGAGCGCTCAGACCTTATTAAACATAAGAGAATTCATACTGGAGAGAAACCCTACAAATGTAAAGAATGTGGCAAAACCTTTAATCAGCGTGGGAACCTGACTAGACATAAGATAATTCATACCAGGGAGAAGTACTACAAATGTGAAGAATGTGGTGGGACATTTACTCGGTGCTCAGACCTTACTAAACATAAGAGAATTCATATGGGAGAGAAACACTACAAATGTGAAGAATGTGGCAAAGCCTTTAACCAGTGTTGGTACCTTACTATACACAAGAGAATTCATACTTGAGCAAAAGCTTACAAATGTAAAGAAAGTGGGAAAGCCTCTAATAATTGCTCACATATTGACATCAGAGAATCATACTAGGTAACAGTGGAATAGATGTAACAACTGTCAAAATACCTTTCAAAACTAAAGTCTTACAGTGCACCAAGGTATGTATACTGAGAAAAAATACTACAACTGTAAAGGGTGGTGCAATACCTTTACTTCTGCCACAGATATTACTGTGAACAGAAGAATTTATATGGGAATAGAATCCTCCAGCAATTGTTCTCACTTTAAGTTCAGAGAATTTGAATCGGAGAGAATCTCTACAAATATAATAAATGCAGAATAAACATTTGTTCAAAAAAACAACATAGAAAACATAAAAGGTTATATTAAAAACATTTTATAGGTGCCTTACTGTAAAAAAAATTAATCAAAAATCAAGTTTGTCTAGGGTGGCGCCTGTGGCTCAGTGGGTAGGGTGCCAGCCCCATATACCAAGGGTGGTGGGTCCAAACCTGGTTCCAGCCAAACTGGAACACAAAAAATAGCCGGGCATTGTGGTCGGTGCCTGTAGTTCCAGCTACTTGGGAGGCTGAGGCAGGAGAATTGCCTAAGCCCAGGAGTTGGAGGTTGCTGTGAGCTGTGATGCTACGGCACTCTACTGAGGGTGATAAAGTAAGACTCTGTCTCTAAAAAAGAAGAAAAACAAATCGAGTCTGTCTAAACATCAGAGGATTTGAGTAGAAAGCACTAAGATACTAATATTTTCAGAGTGTCCTAAAGAGTTGATTATAGAGAATGATTCAAACATAAAAATGCCTAATTTATATGGATGTACTTTTAAAAGGAGATTGATTTTATGGTGAGTTATAATGACATTCAAAGCAAATTTTTTTGCATTTAAATGTTTAGATTATTTTTCATCTTAAATATTAATTTTCAGGGCAGCACCTGTAGCTCAGTGAGTAGGGCACCAGCCCCATACACCATGGGTGGTGGATTCAAACCCAGCCCTGGCCAAACTGCAACAAAACAGTGGCTGGGGATTGTGGCAGGTGCCTGTAGTCCCAGCTACTTAGGAGGCTGAGGCAAGAGAATCACCTATGCCCAGGAGTTGGAGAATGCTGTGAGCTGTGTGACGCCACAGCA